AAATCTTGTGATTTTTGTGTGTGTGTGTGTGTGTGTGTTTGTGTGTGTGTGTGTGTGTGTGTGTGTGTGTAGTACGCATCAGGTCATCTGTGGGCGGTCAATGGGTGTTTTGTCCGAGGCTGAGACTACTTCACACCCTCAATGTCTTTCTCAAGGAGTTTGAAATAGCGGTGTTGCAGATTAAAATGGTTTGCTGTTGAACTCTGGCCAATTTATGCATGCCCACAGGAATTCATCTACACTGTAAAAAAAAATCGGTGACATTTACGGTAAAATATCGGCAGCTGTGGTTGCCAGAACGAATATAGTATGGAAACTTACTGTTAACCAGTTAACAGGTTTTTAACATTTCTTTTACTGTTAAAATCACAATCATTTTTTACAGTGTAGTTTTGCCCACTTACAGATGTGGTTTAAAGTATGGGCAAATAGAACTTGGCCTTGTGACCTTCCTGGCTTTCTGTGTGTGTATGCTTAGTGCATTTGCGATCTGAGCAACCTTCTCTCTTTCTCTCTGAGTGCCAGGACATTAGACACTGTGCCCCAAAGCCCAGCGCTGGGGCCTGAATATGTATTACCACTGACTGCTCTTTCTATTTCAATGCTTTAACTCTCTCTTCTCCCTCTATATATGCATAATCCATCTGTCAGTCCTTTTTATTGGAGCTGTATTCGTTCAGATGTCCTAAAACACTCCTTGTGTATTCGTGTCCACAGAGGCCTGACCTTGGTTGGATGCCAACAGGAACTTGCCCTGCCCTACTGCAATTAGTTAGTTGCTAGACGTCCCCAATGAAAGCACAAATTTAGCCACTGCCCTGATCTGACCCCAGACCTCCTCGAGAGACCAATCAGCGTCTCTCTTCTTTCCACCTCTCTCTTTCTCACTCACTCAGTCTTCCATTATGTGCATCTATGGTCAAGGGTTATGCTTAAACATCTGAAATGGTATTGTTTTTGGCCTTTTTTGTCATCAAATGACCAGCAAAGTTGCTTTCACCTGTAGTGTGTTCATGCCCGTATGGTGTGGGGTTTGAAAATGTATGTTTTAAAATTCTGCTTCTCCTGTTTAATAGGTGAGTAACTTGATTTACTGAGGAGTCCTTGATTCTGGGAGGGTTAATTACCCACCGGTCCATCAGCACCTTCTCCAAAGCAGCTGAATCAAACCGTGCCATCTGTGAACACTCCTGTCTGTCCAATTCGAGACATCACAGCCCATGAGCAATACGGGCAGTCCTGGAAGCAATACTTCAGCAGAGGCATAACTTAGACCGATAAATTGGCTGATACTTGACCATTTTGAGATGTATCATTTATGTATGTCTCATTAAATTGCACTATAACCTCTTGTTCTGTTGCTATATAAATCTCTAAGATGTGTCAGTTTTCCACTAAACTAAAAGACAACATTTATCATTTGTTTTAATTTAACAAAAATAAAGTGATGCTTGGCCACAAAGTTAGTTAGTTAATTAATTAATTAATTAATTTACGTGACAATTTTGCACATTTCCCAACTGCCTTTATCCCCCAATTCTCATTGTAAAACATGTGAATGTAAAATTTTACAAAAAAGTGTTAATACATCTAAAATATGTAGTGTTACATCTATGTAAAAAGAATCTGTAGTGGACATGTGCTTAATTATCACATTTCAAAAATGTAAGTTCCTAAAATTATGGAAGCATATAGGTAGCGAAATTCAATTTAAAATGCAATATGCAAAATGGCAATGCAATATTCAAAATGGCAACGCAATATTCAAAATGGCATTGTATTTCTGTATTTAAATTTACATTTTCCATTACCCATGCGTGCAAAGTTTGTTGCAAAAGGAAAATGAAATTATATCATTTGCATTTGCCATTTCCAACAGTAGTCTTAATATGTAAATTGCATGCAAATTTGAACGCTTTATAAGTTGCGAAATGAAAATGAAAATGTATAACACAAATTGATTTGATATGTGTAACATGTTCAAGCAGAAATGGTAGCAAAATGATCATTTAAATGCTATTTGTCCTAAATGCATTTAGGTGGGCGTGGTCAGCTCGGAATGCATTTTCAAATTGAATTTTGCTACAAATATCCCACGGCGTCATGATGAAAATGCAATCCTAAGTGTTCTAACTGTTAGTCTAAATGCATTTAGGACAAATAGCATTTAAATGATCATTATGCTACCATTTCTGCTTGGACATGTTACACATATCAAATCAATTTGTGTTATACATTTTAATTTTAATTTCGCAACTTATAAAGCGTTCAAATTTGCATGCAATTTACATATTAAGACTACTGTTGGAAATGGCAAATGTAAATTATATAATTTAATTTTCATTTTACTTTTGCACCAAACTTTGCACGTATGAGTAATGGAAAATGTAAATTTAAATACAGAAATACAATGCCATTTTGAATATTGCGTTGCCATTTTGAATATTGCATTGCCATTTTGCATATTGCATTTTAAATAGAATTTCGCTACCTATATGCTTCCATATAAAATGGGCTTTTTTTCCCTATATGTCAAATATAGTAATCATAATAATTAGCATTATATGGGCCTTTCTGCTATTGGATACCAGCAGCAGCTATTGCAAAATTACTGTGACTCAAGTTCTGATGTGAAGGGTCTTCCTGAGGCATGTCTTTGGTTGCCCTTTCAGTGCTCCCCCATTGCATAGATCTGTATGTAAATACATAAATCTGTCACAGTTGAACACAAAGCCATTTCACACCATGTTAAAACACCTGCACACACACAAACAAGCAGCCGCAGATTAACCGGCAATGACTTGAGCCCCAGCTGCGCTCGACCGACAGAGAAAAGAGGAAAGATGCTTAACTAGAACAAGTGTAACGTTTAGGAAGAGAGGATGCCACACTTGATAGAGTGTGCTTGTCACACATACGCACTATGCAACAAAAGCACAAAGGAATCTATTCATCTCTCCTTTTTTCGCTCTTCGCCACTTCCTGTGTCATGCATTTCTCTTCTCTCCCCTTCTGTGTATGAAAGCAGTGACTAAGGAGAAATCCTCCAGTAGGATTTTTGTCGGCACATCTTGATTCTGCATCACTTTCTTGTATTCTTGTTCTTCATTCTTCTCTTCTTGTTCCTTCTTTTCTTCTCTTTCTTGTTCCTTTTTGTTTTTGTTTCTTCACTTTCTTGTCTTATTCTTTTTCCTTCTCTTGTAGATTCTTCCCTTCTTATTCTTGTTCCTTTTCATCTTCCTCTTCATCTTCATTGTCTTCCTTTCTCTTCCACTTATTTTCCTTCCCCTTGTTCTCCTTCTCCTTCTCATCTCTTTTCTCTCTCATCTCTTTTTTTTTTATTATTCAAAATACCTTCCAGCATTGGTTATGTGAACCTGATCCTGCTGGTCAGCTGAAACATCTGCAGTCAAGATGGAGTGAAGGTTTGGACGTAGTAGCTATAAAAATACAAATGCATTCGTGGAGGTTTAAGTTGCTTTCAGGGCAACCGCAGGAGAGTGAAAAATCACAGAATAATCAGACTGGTTATAATGCAGAAATTAATGGAGAGCAAGATTATAGACCTTGCCAGATAGGCAGAAAAGCCTCTTAAAGAGTATTTGGATTCAGATTAGTCTGAGATATGTGTGAGATGTCTTGCCTCACTCTAATACTTGACTGAATTAGTGCATGTTTTATATTGTGGTGAAAGTTCCTTGGATGGGATTTTGTTAACAGGTCATATAATTACAGAGACCTGGAGTAAGGCCGGTGTTCTGTCTACCTAATCAATTTTGTGCCAATATGCTGTATTTTTTTTTTTCATTTTTGTGCAGAGAGCCAACGGGCGTATCGCTTCGTACAAGGAAAAGACTGGGGGTTCAAGAAGTTCATAAGGCGAGACTTCCTCCTCGATGAGGCCAACGGGCTGCTGCCTGATGACAAATTGACACTCTTCTGTGAGGTAAGTGATGCACGACCAATCATATGCTGCACTTCCTTTCGTAGGTTTTATGATATACTACTTTTCAAAAGTTTGGAGTCTGTAAGGTTTTGATTTTTCTAAGTTCTAAAGTCTCTTATACTCAGCCAGATTGCAGTGCATTGATCATTAAAACAGTTGTATTGTGAAGTATTATTAAAAATTCAAATAACTGTTTTCTATTTTAATCTATTTTAAAATAATACATTCCTGTGATGAAAATGCTTAATTTTTTTGCAGCCATTACCCTAGTCTTTAGTGTCATCTGATCTTTCAGAAATTATTCTAATATGCTGATTTGATGCTCAAGAAACATTTCTTATTGGTATCGGTGTTGAAAACAGTTGTGCTTCTAAACATTTTTGTGAAAATAAGGATAGATTTTTTGATAAACAAAAAGTTGAAAAAGAAGGTAGATCAAAAGGGACATTAATCCGTCCATGCTAAATAAAAGTTTTGATTATCTCAAACCTTTGAATGGTAGTGCAAGTAGGGAAGGTTTTTTAAAAATTTTTTTAAGTTTAATACATGGTTGATCACGGGCGTTCTTGTTGTTTAATACATATGTTTTCAGCTAAAACAGTCGATAGATATGAGACCCCAGAATTGCATTGTTTTGAAAGAGCTGCTTAAAAGCTGTCTTTAAAATCACCCCCTTTAGCATTGCACTATAGTCATAGACATTCAGACGGATGCTTTTAGTTGTTGCGTCATGCCTCGCACTGTTTTTTGAGCGTACTGCTACAGCTGTTGTTTAGATGATGTGTTAAAAACAATAATAAAAAAAGTTTCAGGGTCCCGGTTTTATTCCGCTGCGCTCTGTCTAGCTGTTTTTGAACAGAAGAAAGTGCTTTATGTAAACACTCCCAAAGAAACACGTCTTATAGGGGTCAGGTGAACCTGAAATCAACTTAATTATACAGGGTTTCCTTAAGACTAATTAGTCTGCTTGTCTTGAAAATGTGTAGTTTTACACATCCTAATCAAGATGGACAAACTCTTTCTTCTCCCATCTCCTCCTCCTCCTCTTCCTTCCTCTCTGCTCTCTTCCGGTCTCATTATTATTTCCCAGCATTTCCGCCTCCTTTCTTCCTTCTTGCACCATTCTTAACTCAGTTTTCCTCCCACAATTCCATTCTCATTTTTTTTTTTGCCTACATTTGAGGTGTTTCTCTCTATTTCTCTGCCCTCTGTTATGTGGTTTCTTTTTTAGGTGTTAGCTCCTTAAATAAGGGCCTGAGCATACTTTCCCTCTCCCTCTATTTCTCTCTTGTTTTTAATGAGGAGAGGGGTCCCATTAGAGGTGGAATACTTGGTGTCATTGTGGCCAGTGAGATGGAGGGATTTAGGAAGAAAAAGAGGATCCTAATTCTAATTGTGGTTTATTTTCTCAAGATTTTAAAGATTAATGAAAAATCTGACTAATGACGCGTTAGTTTTAGCTAATGATTAGTTGACTTTGGTAGCTATTTTCTCTTGTCCGACCCACCTTTTTCTTTTCTCATTCCATTTCTCTTTCTATAATTTTGTTCTCTATATTCTCTCTCTCAGGTCTTCTCTCTCCTTCACCTGTACTTGCTTTCTCTTTCTTCTTTTTCTTTCTCACCTCTCCATCGCTCCCTCACTACACCTCCATCCTCCAGCAGGTAGATTGCTCATAGTAAATAAATGAGCTCTACACTTCTCTCTCTCCATCTGACAGCAGCCATCTTTCACTCAGTGCAGCCATATGCCACACTGATATCTCTGAGATCCACTACGGCTGCAACATCTGCTGCTGATATATATATATATGTACACACACACACACACACGTTTAGAAATGGTAGCAAGTTAAGGGAATAGTTTACTGAAAAATGAAAATTGTTATTATTTACTCACCCTCATACTTTTATGGTGCTCTAGCATCTTTTTTGAAGCTTAAAGCCTTAGTCTCCATTCGTTGGAGTTGCATCAAATTGAGCGATTACAGTACAGTACAGTTTTTCAAAATTTCACCTTTCAAATTTTTGGAGTCAAAGATTTGTAAGTGACTTTGAAAGAAATCTCTTATCCTCACCAGGGCTGCATTTGTTTGATCAAAACAGTAAAAATAGTAATATTGTGAAATATTATTACAATTTAAAATAACTGGGTTCTATTTTAATGTAATTAAGATGTGTATATATACATCTATTTATATATATATATGTAATTACTTTTTGTGATGGCAAAGGTGAATTTTCAGCATCATTACTCCAGTCTTCAGTCACATGATCCTTTCTGAAACCATTATGATATGCTGATTTGGTTTTCAAGAAACATTTCTTGTTATCAGTGTTGGAAACAGTTGTGCTGCTTAATATTTTTGTGGAAACCGTGATACTTTTTTCAGGATTGTTTGTTTAAAATAATTTTTTTTTAATAGAAATATTTTGTAACATTCACATTTAAAACAGTAAAGATTTACATATATTTAATGCATACTTTCTGAATATTAATTAAAAAAATGTAATTTATTTACTTATTTATTTCAGAAAGGGACAGTGTGCTTTAATCAACATTCATGAATGTAAATGTACCCAAGTTAGCCCGAAGGCTAATTTTCATTGGTAGTCCCTTTGCCAGATGTTATTAGGCATAAAGCTAAAAGGAAAAAAACAAAAACAATAATGTGACAAAATTATAAACGACAATATAAAATACAGTTGAATAGCAAATATAATACCATAAGTAAAAAAAAAAAAAAAGAGAGAAAGATAAAGTATTGATATGGGTTAAGAAAAAAATAAATAAAGATGATGATATAGAAGAAGCAACATCAGTTTTGATATTGTTGATTTTGAATTGCCTCAGACTTTTAAATAGTACTGTGTTCCAAAGAGGTTTGAGCGTGACATGAATGTAAGGAAATGGTGATAATTTTCTTTTTTGAGTGAACTGTCACTTTAAGAGGAAGATTCTGTACCTTCAGCATCTGCTTTGTTCCTCTTCAACCTCAAAACACAGAGGGCTCAGCGGCGATGAGGATGTGATGGAGGGAAGCAGAGGGAGAGGTAGAAGTGCTAAACCATGTTACCCTAATCAAAGTGAAAGAAGATTTGAATGTGTTAGTATTTAACATTTGAAAGTTTCCCTGTGAACATTTACACTACATATGTGACGAACTGATGTTGCGACCTTTTGAAAACACCTCAAAATGCTTTCATCTTTACCTCAGTGTTGTGCTTGCATCTCTACAAAGGGTGTTTTCAAAGTCAGGAATCCCTTTTCATGGATGTATGAGGTCGGTAGTGTCTCTGCAGACTAGTCAGCTCACACGCATACATAATCGCAGACAGTTCAGTGAGATGAGAGGCAGATGCTGGTGTCAGAAGGAGGGAAAGTGAGGAATAAGATCAGGTGAAGAAGAAAAAGGGAGGTTTGCGGTCAGGGCCAGACTCGAACAGCTTGAGTGGAAATGATGCGTGGAAAAGCGTACAGTATGTGTAGTCTGAAACAGAATGATTGTATAAACACCAACTCACTGACACAAACGCACAGCTGCTTACAAATAAAGCTTGCCTCTCTGTTTGTCTGTCTATTTTTTTAGGATGCAACGAATAAAATTGGACACATAGTTTTGACATCAGATATACACGGTTTCTGATAGGTGTGGACGTTATGACCTAAATCACTGTACAAGTCATTTTATATCAAAGTAACGGTACAGTATTTGTCATGATATAGTTATTTTTGCTTTAAATTTAACCTCAAAATTATTTATATATTACACAAGGTAGCAACATATTTTTTAATGCATATCAGTTGAATTATACAGTTGCACTGTTACCCAGCAACCGTAATCAACAGGGACTGGTGTGACATGTCAGAACGCACATGTATTTTCCATTACAATCAATGAAACGGTTTAGAGGTTAGAGTGCAGGATATTGTTTTCTGCTTGGTATCAATTGAAAAACAAAACTGCACTCTGGATAAACGACAGTATGAATCTCTACTGGCTGACATATTTCTACCTCCACATGCTGCTGTATATATTGTCCAGCCGTATTTTGTTTTCAAGAGAAGGAGAAAGGAAGGAATCGTGGTTTTTAACATCTGCTCCACTTTAATAGCTGCTGTGTACACCTGCATCAGCGTGTGCTGATTTTGTTACAACTCTAAATGAGATGGCATAGAAAATTCAGCAATGCTGCATTAATGAGCTAATTAGCTTATTTGATGTGATTTTTTTTTTACACTCTTTGATACTAGGCCACTGTCAAAACAGACACTTTCTGTCATAATAGCTTTGATAGATTGAGACATATCTGTCTGTCTGTCTGCCTGTGTACAGACTGACTCAAATCTGTGTTATATGTGTCTGTGTTTTTTATTTGGGAAATACGTTTAAGGTGTCCGGTAGTGGGAAATGCTGTGCTTAATTGTCTCTTGCATTGGTGTGCAGTGGAGGTGTGTTTTTTATTAAGAGTTGAAGTGAGAAGATACAGTGTGGTAATTTTCTAATTAAAGTGTGTGTAAATTACGCACTGCTTGGTTTGATTAATCAATGAATTCATTATGACCTGGATAAGCTCATTAGCATGAGCCTGATGCAGGAAGTCACCTGGAATTATTGTTCCTCCCTTTTTTTTCATCTCCTCTTTCTCTGTTGCGTGCCACTAATGAGTGAGTGATGAATGTCCACACATGGGTTTCACTCAGCGAGTTTGAGTGTGTGTCGCAGGTTCATTAATCAACTTCAGTGGAAGAGTAGCGTACACACACTAGTTTACACCCTCCTCCCTCATTAGTTTCCGTGTTTAGATTTACACACAGTAAACAGTTCAGTCATACTTGAGTCCAGACAGCTGTAGTGAATCAGCTCATGGGGAAATATGAATAATTAATCATAACTAGTTATAATTAATTATAAATATTTAGATCCGCTGTAGATATTTAGCTGACCTCTCAGGGTCAACTTTCTGTCAACTCTAAGAACGTTAATTTCCTGGTTAAGGGAAATAACTTTCTTACTGTACAATTCTACAAAGAGCTTGTAGCATAAATCTGCATTCAGTTTGAGTCAGAGAATCTTGGTGAATGGAAAATTCAAGGCCGAAGGCCTGGCACAAAACTTAGGATGTCCTGGAGCGTTGGAGCTCACATCTTATCAAAACCTAACAGAACCACCGACTCTGTAGGCGGGTCCCTGGAGTGGGCCTTTAAGGTCGGAGAAGATTCTCCGCCTCTCAAGATGGGCTTGTCCAATGAGAAAGGCAGAAATTCCAAGCGGGAGGTTGCAATTGCTGGAGGTTTTTACGACCCTTTGTCTGAGGGCATGGTAATTTGCAAATGTAATTCGCTTGGGGTGTTGATGCACAAACTAATAAAGATTCTTAGAACACTAATATGTTGCATAGGTATAAACATACAATATACACTCTCAATTAGATCATCTGAATACGAATTAATAGAGACCAAACACGGTATATGTAAGGTTACATGAATGAGTGGTTCTATCATAAGCATGCATAAAATAGTCTACAATACAACAGATAATATACAAGACAGCAATAATATACACAATGACCTGAAGGATATGTGTGTTCATTCAAAGAAAGGTTTTCCTATCAATTAATTAGTAGAAAAGTCCATTTCTACTGTGCATTGTGTCTCTTCCTTAAGAAAAAGGCAGTGATTTTCCCTACTTACATTCCATTAGGTCGTAAATGTATCTGGTGTCAGGGTTGCCATGGTAACCAGGGGGGGCCTGGTGTCGTTGCAGACATCCTGGCATCCAGTTTATTGGGTGAGGGGACTGTGACGATTTGTTAATCTAATGAATAACTGATTTGTTAAATCAAATGAAAAATTGTGTGTTTGATTGGTCCAGACGCTACACAGCACAGAGCTGCTCATTAAAGTGATGAGTTTGACTTTAAAGTAGTGATCCTATTTCTGAGGCTGAAGATGAAGACTTGTGATTGTAGACAGACAGATAGACAGACAGAATTCCAGTGACTTATTCACCAGCCTAGGAAATATATTTCCCATTCATTTTCTCCATAAAAATCTTCAATAATCTTTAACTCTTTAATCTTCAATAATAACACTTGGGCCATATGATTTATGAATCATGATATCACAACATTATCATGAGGCCTTTTTGATCATGTTTTGTATTAATTTGAAATTAACAAGTACAATTTTTATAATATATATTTTTTTAAATAATTACAGAAATTACATTTACGACAGCCACCAGTCAATCTCATCAGGCAGAACAACCATCTGTATCGAGCAGTTCTGTAAATTGGTAAAAAAAAAAAAGGTTAGCTCATCTGTCTATGTGTCTCTTTCGTTCTTTATTTTAATTTTATTCTAGCTTGAAGCTCTGTGAATGCTGCTTAATAGATATTTTTATTTCTCTTGTGACTTTATTCAGTTGTTTTAATAGTGGTTTATGTTGTTGTGACGTTAGTGCAGCTGTTTTGCTGGTATTGCAGTGTTTTAGTGAAGAATTTATGTGTTGTGATGCCCATAACAGCTTGTTAGTTTTAGCTTTATGCACAGCAGAAAGGGTGAACAGGAAATAGTTACATGTTTTCTGCTCCCCAACCTGTCTTCATCTTGCTCGTTCTCTCGTCCTCTCTCCTTGTTTGTCCCTCTCCTTCACGTCTGCTGTCTTTTCTGTTTTCCTTCAGGGGAAAGTCTGCTCCTCCATTAAGAACATACAAGGGTCCTTGACATTTAATTTCCTGTTTGTGGTGCTCTTCTGCCCTCTTCCTGTGTGTCATACTCACTCTCCTCCATCTCTATCCATCTCCATCTTATTCTCACTCCCTTTCACTTTTCTTTTGTGTCATTTCACTCTTGTCGGCTCATAATCCCTGATTTTACCTCAGACTCTTCACCTTTGAGCATTTTGAGATCATTTTGCAGAGAAATTTCCAGTTTTCTTGCATTACATTAGCAGACTTTTCAAATTTGAAATGAACATTCGGTACTTGTCTTATGATGCTGTACAGGTAGACAGCTCACAAGTTCTTGAAACAACTTTAGTCTTGAGGTTTGTCTGTGAGGAGTTTTGCTCATTAAAGAAATGTGCCTTATGTGGCAATTAACTTGGTGTGAGAACCTGTGGCATTTCAGCATGTGTGTGTGACTCCTGGAGTGAGATAAATGAACCTACTTATGTCTGCGGGAACAGGTGGCTAAGTCAGCATGGTGGCCTGCCACACACACATACACACGCTCACACACAGAGACCAGTAACAAATTGAGGCAATTTGTGTAAATTAAGAGATAACTAGACGGCTGCCCTTGTTGAGCAGTCGTTGTAGTGTCCCCCCTGAGCCACTGTGATGAGGGTTTCCCATATTGGCTCACATATGGATGTCCTTAAATGTGTCTTTAAAATAAACATAAAAGTTAACCCAGTACACGTGAATCTGGTGTCTTTAAAGTTTGGTTGACTTATGTGTGTGTGTGTGTGTTTTATGGCCATTACCATAAGCAGGGTGTCTAATGGCTGATTTAATCCATAATTTATGTAATTATAACAATGCAAATGTGCGCCGGTTATCTTTTATTTTGTTTTATTTTATTATTATTATTTTACACAATATTTACTCAACACTTACTTCAAACAAATTTTCATGCACAGCACTGATTTGGATTTGCATTTTGCTTTTGTGTGTTTAGGTGAGTGTGGTGCAGGACTCTGTGAACATCTCTGGTCAGAACAACATGAACATGGTGAAGGTTCCTGACTGCCGGCTGGCAGATGAACTGGGTGGACTGTGGGAACATTCCAGATTCACGGACTGCTCGCTGTGTGTCGCAGGGCAGGAGTTCCAGGCACACAAAGCCATACTGGCAGGTAACGTGGGAAACACACACACTTGCATGCATTTTTTTTTCAGAGATTCACATATGCTGAGATTCGATCTTATGACAGTTTAAAGAAAATTATTGCAGAGGATTGTTACACGTGAGTAATGTCAATATTTTCTTGATGTTAATTTTAGTTTAAGTATTAGATTTTTTTTTCATTTCTTTTTAATATTTCTATTTAGCTTTAATTTATTTTATTTCTGTATTTTAGTACTTAAAGGGGTCATATGATGTTGCTAAAAAGAACATTATTTTATGTATTTGGTGTAATGAAATGTGTTTATGCGGTTTAAGGTTCAAAAAACACATTATTTTCCACATACTGTACATTATTGTTTCTCCTCTATGCCCCGCCTTTCTGAAACGCGTCGATTTTTTACAAAGCTCATCGGTCTGAAAAGCGAGGTGTGCACTGATTGGCAAGCTATCCAGTGCGTTATGATTGGCCGAATACCTCAAGCGTGTGACGGAAATGTTACGCCCCTTACTATACTGTGATGATGTGTCCCGGCCGGAGCGACGGCGGGCCAGAGTGAGCGGAGGCCTGCGGGCGGGCTTGAGAACGGCGCGGCCGGCGGGCTTGCAGCAACCACATGTGACGACCCTGGGCTGAACTCCGCTTCGTCCACGGTGAAAGCCGATCCGGCGATCCACAGTGCGAAGTCGATGTATTTCCTCAGCGACCAGCACGGCTCAGCTCTAGGCATGACGAAGCGGATATTGTCCTGTTTTGGAAGGCCAAAGTAATTTCGCTTTCACAACGAAACACACAGAACACAAACACACACGCGTCTTCACAACATGGCGGCAGCAACAATACTACAGCGAGAATAAAAGTTACGCCTTCTTTCTTTGCGTGAACATTTGGGCGGTGTTATGCAAATCTTCCCACATCGTGACGTAGACATGTGGGGGCGTGTTAGAACGAGCTGTTTTAGGTAGGCGTGGTTGACTCTTAACTTTTATAAAGAATATCTCTTTGGATTTGAGACTTTAGTCTTTGCAACTTTACAGATCTTCTTTATGCACCAAGAGCTTGGTAACACTTCAAAGAGAAAGGAAAAATTAAAATTGCATCATATGACCCCTTTAAATGAAAATTAAAAAATGTTGCCCGTGTAATTTTTTTCATTGAATGTTTTTAATTTATTTCAGTCTTATTTTAATTAATGAAACGATTTCTTATTGTTTTATGGCCAGGACACATCAAGCCGACGGTTGGCCGTTGGCCAACATCAGGCCGACGGTGAGCGATGGTCGGACTAGTTTGTTTGGTGTTTTCCACTCGTCGGCTCTCGTCGGGCTCACGTCAGCGGCAGTCTGCCCGATTCAACATGTTGAATCGGCATTGGGGTTGTCGGGACCGTCTGTGAGAGTGAGAGCTCTGATTGAATGTTCAGTTAAGCAAACGAGTCAGTGCCCGAGAATTAAAGCGAAAGTGATGAAAACAAGCACGTAAACGAAGGTGGTACAGACAGTAGGCTGTTTAAATGTTACGTGATCTTTCCCAATCATTCTAATACGCGAATGTTTTCATAACAACATGAGCCGCTTAAAAGGATTAAAGTTATCAACGTTACTGATATTCAAAATGGAAAGCAAGTGC